CTTAGGACAGCCCACAGGGAGGCTGTTAATAAAATATGTGACATACCCTACCCGCAACACAACTTCCTGGGGGAGGGGACCAGTCTGTCTGGTTCAGCTTTGGCTCCTCCGTGCCCAGCATGGGGCCTGGCCTGAGGTACACGCTGGAGAGATAATTGTTGCATGAATGCACGATGACCTGCTCTGCCTGAGGGCTGGGGACGCACTGGATGTTTTCGCAGTGTCCCCTCCAAAGCATCGGTGGCCCATTTTTAGGTCTCAAGGTCACTGCCAAGAAAGAGAAGCTGCTAAAGTGACACCTCTATGCACCCACATGACTCAACACAAAAGTTAACAGGAGCTCTTAAAAACAAGCCTCTCAAGTGTCTGTCCCCTGCTCCTCCGAGGACAGCATCGGCAGCATCAGAGAGAGATTGGAGCCGGGTGACCTGCTGGTCCTTGGGCGTCAGTGTGGCCCAGAGGTCATTTAGCAGCTCTCTGCTCTGCAGACAAGGAAGGAATAAATGGAGGGTGCAGATAAACACTTCATGTGGCTGCAGGGGCACCTGAGAATTTGGGAAATTGAAAGGCAAATTGTAAAATTAACACAGCGCAGAGATAGGCAAAGTCAGCTGAAAGAGGGAGCATGGTGCCGAGGCCAGGGAGCCCTGACCTGAGGTGTTAAGAGGGAAAAGCAGGTGCTCTCAGGAGGGGCTGTTAAACCAGGATGCCTAGACGAAGGTGTGTCCTTTCTGGCTTGGTTCTTTCAGGCGTGGTCCAGTGGAAGGCAGGCCTCCAGACCCACTGGCAAAACTCACTATTGTCCAGATGCAGGGCTGTAGCGGTGAAAGGCAGTGTGGTGTAATGGTTAGGATCTGGGTTTGACAATCCCAGTGGGGTGACCTTGGGCAAGTCGCTTCACCTTTCCAGAGGCCTCAGTTGCCCTGTCTATAAAATGGCAATAACTATCTCCTCCTGGAGTACTTGAGAAGATTAAATGAGAAAATCTGTGTGAAGCATTTAGTGTAGTGCATGGCGCGTGGTAAAAGTGTCGATGATGGAAATGATGATAATCTGGTTTCCTGGGAGTCATGTGGCAGGGAACAGCCCTGAAGATCTTAATAATCAGTCTGGGTGAGAGTTTATCATGGGCTCTGCCTGTCTGCCCACTGCCTATTATTATAAATAAAGTTTTAGTGGGACACAGCCACACTCATTTGTTTAGACATCATGCTGCAATGGCAGAGTTGAGTAGCGGAGATAGAGACCCTGTGGTCCACAAAGAGACATGGCCCTTCCCAGGAAAAGGGCTTCTTGCTGTCTGGCCTTTTACAGAAAAAGTTTGCTGACCCTTGCCTCATTGGTTGGTAGATAACCAGCTGGTTCCTGGACTTCGCTGAGGAAAGTGATATGTTGGAGCAGTCAAGAGTATGAAGTTTGGGCTCTGATGCTCTCGCTCTTGGGCAAGTTACTTACCTACTCATCGTTTTCATGGTAAAATAGGAGTGATGCACATAGTGGGATAATGTCTGGACCGTGCTGAGCACAGCATCCGATGGCTGGCAAGGACACTATAAAAAGTTTGCTATCATTAACTCTTAAAGTCCAACTATTGAAAGGCACAAAGAAACTCCCAGAAGACGGTCATTGCTGCATGCAGCTCTCTCCAGAATGCCCAGCAGTAATCCCCTTGAAAGTCAAAAAAGAGGGTGTGAACGTCAAAGGTGAGCTCTCCCATGCCATATACCCGGTAAATTAATGACTCCAACACCTTTTCAGGAGAGCAGCAGATTAGAAGGTGAAAAGAAAGGGGAGCCAAGGTCGAGGCCACGAGGTCTAGCACAGTATCATTAGTACCTGGGGCATAGTAGGTACCCAGGATTTGTTGCCTGAATGAACGAAGTCTGGTTGTTTAACCATAAAAGTGATTTATCAGTCAAAGGGCACCTCTGATTTCTAGGATGAGAAGACTACAGTTATCCAGAAGATACAATTTCTGCCTCCAATATCTTAGGGTCTTAGGAATGAAAGCAATATGCTAAAGAGGGGAGGAGGCTCCAAACAAAGAGCCCGCTAACGCTTCCCACCACAGGACAGAAGCATTGCTGTGGATTCCTGGGAAGAGATGGGCAGAGAAAAATGTTTAAAAACAAAAGCAGGCACATAAGGTCATGAATTGGCCCAAAATAACTTGGGACATTGAGCAGACGGAAGCAAGCGGCACATCTTGATGGAAATGAGGCCAAGCTGATAAGCCGGAATAGTCTGCCCTCACTGGACACCCTAACTCCCGCGTCAGGAGGCCTCAGCACGGAAAAGAGGAACACATTAGCATTAGCAGGTTTTGGGTTTCTGCTCATCGTTAGTGTATTGCTTTCACCCTAAGACCCTAAAAAATTGGAAGCTACTCCACTTACCAGGAGCGCACTTCGGAATGCGGGTCCGGAAGCTATTTTTTTCCACAGACACTTCATGACTCTGGTTTTTCCAACAGCAGGCGTTGGTGGCTCTGCCAAGTTGCTTGAGAAGGGCACGTTATCTGCAAAGTCACGAATCCAAGAATCCACGCGGGCCGCCATTGGCAAGGGTGGAAGGAAGCTGTTTGTCAGCTTCTTGGGGGATCAGAAGACTGGGAGTTTTGGGGGAGTCTGCAGATGCCTTGTTGTACCTTCGTATGAGCCCAGGGGAAAGCTGAGAGCTACCGGTGGGGCCATGTAGCAGAGTGTCTTAGTAAAGGCCATTTTGCTTGCAAATAACGGAAACAAACCAGCTGAAGCAAAAGGGGGCATCGATGGGGACAAAAGGCCAGTTCCTTACTGTCCTGACTCGTCAGCCTTGCTTGCCTTTTGATCCTCCAACCTTCCTCATTTCCTTTAACTCCCTTTCTGCTTAAGTTAGCCACAGGAGGTTTCTGTCGTTCACAACACAAGAATCTTGAGTGATATAAAGGGTCCTAGTGGAACATAAGGGCAGGCCTTGGAACTGGCCTTCCCAAGGAAAGAAGCTAAGAACCAGACAGTCTTCAGGAATCCAGGTAACCTTCTCCTTTTGTGTCGGTTGGAATGCATTCAGCTTCAGATAACAGAACACTGCACTTGGGTAGATAAAAATTTGGAGCCCCTCCCAAACGGACTCTGGCCACGTGACCTGCTTTGTGTGATGGGATATTAACAAACACAAGGCAGATAGAAACTTGAAAAGGGGTTTGCTCTCTCCTGCTGCTCTCGGGAACCTGTGCCCACCACCCCGTGGAGGAGCCTGGTCTAGCCTGCTGGGTGATGAGGGACCATGCTAAGCAGAGAGAAATTGTCCCAGCTGAGGCCTCACTAGACCAGGGCTTCTCATTCTAGGTCCTATTGCCATTTTGGATCAAATAAGTCTTTGCTGTGTGGGAGCTGTTCTGTGCACTGTAGGATTTTTAGCAATCCTTGGCCTCTACCCACTGGATGATATTAGCACTCCCCGCACCACCCCTGTTGTGACAACCAAAATTATATCCAGACATTGTCCCCTGGGGGGTAAAATCGCCTCCAGTTGAGAGCCACTGCCCTAACCCAACTTGCCTGCCAAGGACCAGGCCTGTGCATGAGGCCATCCTAAATCATCCAGCCCCAGCCAAGCCAGCCCAGACCAGGACAAGTGCCCAGCGTGACGCATGGAATCATGAGAAATCATAAATATTCATCATTTTCAGTCACTAAGTTTTGAGTGGTTTGATCCACAGCACAAACAGGTTCACTGACTACAGTGGCTTAAAGAGGGAGGGATTTCTGTGTCTTACAGCACCAGAAGTGTAGAGGCAGGCCGTGTAGGCGCCGTGCAGAGTGCAGGGAGGCCGCCAGGCGCCCTCCCGGGCCCTTCTTGTCTCTCCCCTCCATTGCCCTTGGAGGTAGGCCTCGGCCTCTTGCTTGTTGCCTCGTGACCCCCAAGATGACTGCTTCACTAATTCTGAGCTCCAAGAGTGAAAAAGGAGAGAAGGCAAAGGGACAAGAACAAACAGCTTCCTCCTAGCGAAGACTTGCCTTTTATTCCAGAAGGGAAGATCTCCCCTGGGCCTCGCTTATGTCTCATTGGCCAGAAGTGAACAACATCACCAGCTGTAGCTGCAAGGGAGGCTGGGAAATCAGGGCATTTAGCTTTCAGCCTACATGGCAGAGGGAGGCGATGACTAAGGGGCTGTGGTATCTGCTGCAGTGTCTCTCTGGGGGACCTGGTTTCTTATCTCTTCTTGTTGCGTATCTACCCCACCCTTCTCTTTCTGAAGACTGGCTTTGTTTCTCCAAAGACAAGGGGGAAAATGGCCACCCCAGCCCTGGGACTGCATCCAGACTCTCTCCACTAAAGACCTGCATGGCATCCTACTTCCAAACACCAAAGACAGAGATGCTGATTGGCCCAGCTTGCATCAGAGGAGAAGCCTGGTTGGCTTGGGTTGGGTTGGGTATCTACTGCTCAGCCAACCAGCTGTGGCCAAGAGAGCAGTGTGAGGTGGGCAAACCTGAATGGACCGGTGCACTCACTGGGAAAAGGGTGTATGGCTGAGGAGGCTCCCAAAACTGTCTAGTTCAGAGACAGATGAGAAGTTGCTGCCATGGGTTGTAATGTTGATAGGATAAGAATTAACATGTCCTTTGAAAGACCTAAAATATAGTGGAATCATAGTTACATGATATTTAACTTATGCAAAGTCAAATATACCTGTTCAACCAACAAACAACATATTTTTTCACACAATTTGGCTCCTAAACATGAGCCCATTACTTGAACGGCCGCCTAACCAAGTGATCTTTTCTGCTGCTAGAGAAACACGTGCTGTTTTGGACTTTTGGGATGCAGTACAGTATAATTAATACCAAGTCCTTTATGGAAAATTTCTGGGATTTTCAAGAGTCTTTTCAAGATCACGTGATGCTCACCTTTCTCACTGAGTTTAGATCCTTACCCTGTGTAAGATGTACCTTCAGTGGACTAGCACATAAAGAATTTTTCCTAGTTTTAATCAGTATGAAGAATGCATTTGGTTTTAAAATATCAAAATATTTTTATTGTGACTTTTTAAAAATAAAAAAATAAATGCTATTCATGACTTCTGGCTCTTCCTCCCGTTTCATTTGGTGGTCCTGGCCATGCAAGAAGGGCAGAGAGAGGACGGGTGGATGGAGAGACAACGAAACATGAGAGAAACAGAGGGCACAGCAAGGAAAATAGGGGTCTCTCCAAAGACCATGAACATGAGGTGTGTCCCCCCGGGCAGCGTGTGCTCTTTGGTTACTGGGTACTTCGTCTCTCCTCAGGGCCCGGGACCTGAGCTACTGCGTAGCAGAATGGGCAGTATGAGACGGCGTTAGAAACTTGGGTTTCAGACACAACTCTTGAAATCATTAGCTGTGTGATTTTAGACAGGCCGTTTAACCTCTCTGGGCCTCAGTATCCTCATCTGCAAAATGGGGAACATAATACTATTTACCTCCCAGGGCCTGGGGGAGTGTTAGATGAGACATGTTTTGAAAACTGCAGAGTGCCATATAAATGTTAGTCATTATTATGGAAGTGATAAAACAGATTGTCCTAAATTTATTATAATAACCTCAGACATAAATGGACTATCCGATGGCCCCAAGAGCCCTGAGGTTACCATTCTGCCCCGTGGCCGCATATGTGTCCCAGGTTTCTTAGCTGTGGGTTTCTTGGAGCTCCTTGGAGGGGTGACGTTTGGGTACATCACGACTCAAACGTGGAGCCACATAATTGTATCCACCAGGCCTAGCTGTCTGGGTTTCAAACTTATATTCTTCATATGCCTGAGTATATATACATTCGTGGGTATTTTTAAAAGAACCCGGCTCCCCACACTCCAAAATACAGCATTGTGCAAAATACCAGTCTAGGAAGCAACACAGTAGGGTAACAAGCTTTAAAGTCCTACGAAAGGCTCTTAGTATTTTGACACAGAAGAGTCACACTGACACATGGAGGATCACGTAAGGCCCAGTGGGATGACATTTCTAGTTCTTTCCGCCAGGCTTGGAAAACAGAAGGTTCTGGCTGCATCTGGCGGATGCTTCTCTCTTCAACATCTCTCTTTCTTGGTCCATCTTTGGGGTGGCTTTTCTGACTGCAACCTTCAGTGAGCAAGAGAAACAAATGCACAAACTATAATTGCAGCGAGATCCCAAAATGTTCCACTGGAATGTTTTTAAAAAAATTTTTACGCAAAATGTTTGTTGTAAAAAAATAATTTACATATACACATATACATAGCTATGAGCAAAAAGAAGCTAGAATGGTCCACTATCATCACACTACCCACAGGTCAGACTTAGTCACGCTTTGGTGGACACCCTCCAGATGTACAGATAATGTCTTCCCATTTTATATTGTCATGCTTTTGAGACTGGGAGCTTCTTATGATGGGCATGGTCATTGCAATGGAGCTTTTTTCTCCTGAGCAGCTGTTACTGAACTGAATGTGTCTTATGTCTCTGACATCTTAGGAGGAGAAAATGCAGGATATTCAGGGGGTCTGTCTAAGCCTTTTCTGAGCACTGGCCCCCACCTGCTCCTGGCAGCCAGGTGTGACTTTACTCTTGGTCATAGTGATCGGACGTTTGGCCCGGGCTGGGCTTTTCAGATGATCACTCCCAGGATTTGGGGTTATGGGCTCTGAGATGCTACTCACTCCCTGGGCTGGTCCTTTGAATTGAGGAACTATGAGGTCACCCCTTTATGTCACATGACAGGGAAGAGAGATCAGCAGAGAGAGGTGGAGAGGAGATACAATGTGTGTGTGTGTGTGTGTGGCCGTAAGTGTGATAGTGATGTTTGGGATCTGAAGGCTTACCAGTTCTCTTCTGAGGCAAGACTCTCCTTTAGCCCTTAGTTTTTATGAGGCACCCACTCGTGTATCCTTATGAAAGCCCCTCCCTCTTTCTGAAGAGGTTTCTATTAATTGCAACCCAAGAATCTTACACAGTTCTGTACATACTGTAGACACAGTTGTAACTTGCAAGTTTCTTTCCAACAGGCTTCAACTTGCCAGCTCCACTTCCTGCAAGGTTTTAACTCCAACCATTATGACACATACACCTGGGGGCAGACGGCTGGTGGGTAGTTGAGTTTCAGCTCTGCCTCTGACCACGTGACCCGAGGTTTCCTCATCTGTCAGAGAGGGCCCCAACTACCCATCCAGTCTTCCTTGGGGACAGAGAAGAGACTCTGGGTGGATCTTAATGGAAGGGGCTGTTAAGACCGTCTCTTGAGCTCTTTTCACTTTAAGATGAGTTTGAGAATCACCTCCTGAGACCTGAGCCCGCAGCTGACAGGAGCCTTGAATGTGTTTTAAGCCTCTACGTACAAAACCATTTCAGGGTGAGAAGGGCTGACATCTCTATGCTAGCCCACAACGTAAATCTTGGTCGGAATGCCCAGCGAAAATGAGATCAGACAGCAAACATCGAAAACCTTTCTTCTCTAAACCACTTTTCCTTTATGGTCCTTTTTATTTGATTTTCAATAAAATTGCTGGCTGTGGATGGTTCCCAAATGCCAGTGCCCTGATCCGGTGTGGGAGTTTGTTAACAATGAAGAGTCCCCAGTCCCAGCGTCCCCCTGCCCCCAGGTCTGCCGGGAGCTGGGCTGAGAAGCGCCACAGAGCAAGCTTCGCTCCACTTTTTGCATTGACAAGGGCAGGGGCAGCAGAAGGCAGACAATGGGAATGTCTGATCTGGGAAGAGGAAGAGATGGCAAACGGGAAATGTGAAAAGCCAAGTGTGGGCAGGAAGGGTGGGGGAACCGGGCAGGGTCCACCCTGAACCCAACCGGGGACCACAGGTGAGCCCCACGCATTCAGCTTGGATGTTTGGAACATGCCTCACCCTCAGAATGAAACGGCAGGGGTAGAAGCCAGTCATTTAAGTAGCGACACCCAAATTGGAATTTTGGAAATTCACCGGAAATCAACTCAGGACATGTTAGAGTGGCTGCTTCAGGTAACTGGAAGCATCGGTTCTAGAAAGACCCCAGTCCGTTCCCGTACAACCTCAGGTCTCATTTAAACGTTCCTTCTTTGGGGAGACCTCTCCCGGCCCTTGGACTGGGGGGGGGTCCCTGTGAAATATGCTCCTGAGCTCAGTCCACTGGCCTTTGTCCTCAAAACATTTTGTACAAAGTAATTATTTAATCATTACTTGCATTGACTTTTTTTGAATGGCCCCAGAATGTAAGCCAGAAAGGCACGGAGTTTTGTGTGTTTCTTCATTGATCTAACTCAGCATTTCTCACCCTTTTTTTCCTTATGGTCCCTCCCTGAGGAAGCTTCTTAGACCTTTTTTTCCTAATCGCTTCCACCCCCATGAAATTTTAATATTGTAGACAGCACTCTCTGTATATCTGTGCTTTATACATTAAAAAAAAGAATTTTCACCCTCTTGGGGTGACGCTGCCCCTGTCGAGAATCCACGATTGAACCCCAACACCTGGACAGAAACTGCCACATCGTAGGCTCCCAAGAAATATTTGTGAACGAATGAGGGCGGGACTGTATCTTTTTGTTCACCCTTCCATGCCCAGTGTCTAGCACTCTAAGTGGCCTAGACTAGGTATTCAGTAAATATTTGCTAACTAGAAGATTTTCCTTGTTAGCATACAACTCACAATTATAAAAAACTGTTAGCTGCAGAGGAAAAAAAATCAATGAATGGCATTTTGGAGGACAGAAAAGAAAAATCCACAGGGCCTTAAAAAGAAAGGGGATGCCAGTTCTGAAGCTTGCTAGAAATGGAGACTCTTTTATGAGTGGGCAAGACCGAAGGAGAAGGTTTTACACGTCCTGTCCATTTTAAGGTGGCCATGATGACTCCATCACCCTAAGGACCCAAGGCACGCTATGAGGAAGGAGGTGCCTAAGCCACACTTCGCCAAGGATCCTGGAGGAAACCTTTGTGTACCGAGGAGATCCCAGACACCACACCTCTAAGCTCGGGCTGGAGGGCTGGAGGAACAGGAAGCTCGCTCTTTGCTCTTAGCTGACGCACCATCTGCCCGCATTCTGTTATGCAGAGGAGGCCTGAAATTCCAGGGGCTTCACTTCTCAGAGGTGCACAATGTTCCTGTGACATCCAGGGCCCATCCCAATATCTCCTCTGTCACCTTACATGCCCAGGTGGTCCTCCGACAAAACCTAGCTGGAGGGAGGTTTCTGCCTGCTCCTGCTCAGCCATTTCTTACGGATGAATAAGGGATAAGTCTCCCGCTTATTCACCCTTTGCCGGGCAGCCAAGGTCTCAGATCCAGGGAGATCTGAAGGACGCGCTCTGTCCTCCTAACATCCTGCTCTGGGCAGGATGGGCAGTAGCCACTTTCTGGTCTTAGAACAGGGTGCTGGCTGAGAAGATGCTTCTGTTCTCCAAAACTCTCCCTCACCTAGAATATCTTTGTTTTTTCCAGTGATAATTTTGCTGTCTCAGAATGACTGTGGCCTTTTATCAAACTCGAATATATCTCCTCTCTCTCCTTCAACCAAAATGTGTTTCGCTTTCAAGCTTCCCAAGAGCTCGCCTCTACCTTCTGCAAAGTGAGAACGTGGACTGGGTCAGCTCCAGTTCCAGGCTGAACTGTGAATGGCAATGTTTCAACATGTCTAGGATTTTATAGTCTTGATTCTCGACTCTTGAAAAAAGAGTATTGTAGAGGACGCTGCCTTGAAATTCAAGAGAAATGCCACCTGACACATATCAGGTTTATTTCTCCAACGGTTATTACCTAAAGGAGGGCAAGCAGCACTCACCTGGGTGTCAGAGCTGCACTGAGTTCCAGCTCTCCTACTTAGTCTGTGGCTCTGGACAAATTACTTTAGGTCTCTGAGCCTCAGACGCCTCATATGATAATTGAGGGTGATAACAATACCCACCATGTAGGGGTGTAGTGAAGATTAAAGGAGAGAACGCATGTCAAGTGCTTAGCTCTGTGCCCGGCACTTACTAAATGGTCAACACATAACAGACGTGTTGTTGCTGTCAGCTGGGTTTCCTGCTGACATCCTAAGGCTTTCTCTCTTCCCCTTCCGGCTCACCTGGAAATTTGAGTTCTGCACCTTGTTCTTCACCGTCTCTACAAACACTCGCCTCTTGAATACAGAAAGAATGACAAAATTTAGCTTACGTTCTTCCTTGCCTTTTTGCTAAAGGAAAATGGATTTTTCTCAACTTTCAGATGCTTCCGATTTGCATGGAATGTTGGGCCTTCCTAGGGACAGGGACGAGAATGCAGAAGGGGGCATGGCTTTCAGGCAATGCTACACTGGCCTGCTGAGCCCCTTAGAGATCTCTCTTCTGGATCCTGGAGGAATCCGCGAGGAGGAGGCCAGTCAACAGAGGGACACTATATTCCTCCTGGAGGCAGAGCCTCCCAGGTCAGTGGAAGAAGCTGTAATGTCCACTGGGTTTCCACCCAGTGGCTGAGGCGTGATGAACGCCACGGTGGCTAACCTCCCTCCCAGGGGCTGCAGGGGCCTGTCTGGAAGCTAACATCACCGCAAATGTGGGCTTGCCGTTCCCCTGGGGTTTGATTCCTGCTGCTGACCCCGGTCTCCTCAAGACCCCACACCTTGGGGTCGGTTTGCAGAAGAGCTAGCATCCTCTAGGTGCTGGGGACACAAGAGTGAGAGGGAGCGGGGGCCTCCCTCCCAGACTGACACTCCAGCAGGTGAATGTGCAGGGGCGTCGGGAAGGCGACATGAGAGCCCTGAGCATCCGCTGGGGCCACCAACTTGGAGCCTACAGGGGCCAGGGAGTAAAATAAGTGGGTGAAGTGAGCGGGGTGGGGACGGCAGCGAGCCCATGAGCCCAGTGCCTTTCTAAGGGGCCTGGCAGATGACAGCTTGTGGGAACGTGGGCCTAGTGTCACCAGATCTTCTGAGTTGCCCGGAGAAGCTGGAAATCCAGAGTATTCCATGAAAGTGCCCTATTTTGAAATGTTACTTAAAAAAGTCCCATGAGCCAAATGAAATATATCTGAGGGCTGCCATTTTGCAACACCTGCTCAGAGCCTCCCCTCTTGGCACCTGCTGGTGCTCAGGAAAGCTGTGTTAGTGGGGCTGCTGGATAAAATACAGGCTGCCCACTTCAATGTGAATTTCAGAATGAAAACAAACAATTTTTTAGTGTAAGTGTGTCCCATGCAATATCTGGGACACACTTATGCTAAGTAACTATTTGTTGTTTATTCAAAAGTCAAAGTGACTTGGGCATCCTGTTTTGTCTTTCGCTAAGCCTGGCAACCCTATTGGGCATTCACGGAGGAAGCGAGTGAGGCCGTCTTTTGGGGACAGGGGAGCAGGTGCTTGGCTGTCTCTTCCAGTCTCACAAAAGGATGCTAACTCTCCCCTCAGAGCGACTGTCTGTGAAGGCTCACGGGCCTGTATTTAATTGACAGTTGCCCTCCAGGCATTTTCTGTGGAGGTCTTGAGTCTGCAGCCACTCAGCATTTATCACAGACTCAGCTGAGAGGAACTCAGCCCGGAAGACAGTCACCTTGTGAATTCCCAGGTATGATAAAGCAGTGGTTTTAAACCACCCCCCCACCCCGCCCTTTTTTTGCAGCAGAAGCCTTTACTGGAGCAAAATCTCATGAACTTGGTGTATAAAACAGATAATGGACAGCTTCTCTGGTGGAAGCGAGGTGTGTATGTGTGTGCGTGTGGGATGCTGAGAGTCATAACCTTCCACGGCGCTCAAGGGCTCCAAGGAACCCCAGTTTGAACATTGCTCCAAAATATCTTCCTGGGTTAAGTCCAATCGGTGGACAGCTGAGCACTGAAGGGCAGCCCGGCACCTGCACACCTGCTTTTCCTGAACTTTCCTGAACTCACTGGGAGGTGATGACAGCAGTCTGTCTCAGGAGCTTTTCTCAGACATGGCCCAGCCAACACTGCATTTCTATTCTTAGAGATGCTGTCCATTATATCACACAGTGTCCTCTCTAGGGGAAAATCCCGTGTCATCTTTATTTTATGATCACTTCTGAGCATCACATCTGTCGTATTTCGTGGACTGTGAACTCTGGACCAGATGGGGTTTTCATTTCCCACTGGCCGCCAGAGAGCCCGTAATCAAACGCGGCTCCCCCTAGGCAGGTGAGCAGGTTGTTACAATTGGCACTTTCACCCTCATTCTTGGCTCCATTTTGTAGCCACTTGCCCCTCTTCTTTCACCCACTTACTTCATTCTTAGGACAGAGGATTCCTGGGACTCCCCACACCCCACTTCTTCATCTTCTTCTTATGAAGACTCGTCTCCAAGACCCAAAGCATTTAGAGCCCAGGATGGCTGCTCCATCAGCCAAACCACACCCGCGCTTCCCTCTGCCTCCTCTCCCCTCCATACGCTGGGTGGGATGCCTGCTGGTCTCTTAGGTCATTCGTCCAGACGGCAGGCAGGGGCGGGGCAGGGGCTCAGGTGGGGAAAGGGAAGGGCGTGGAGGTGTGTGGCTGGTCCTTGGCAGCACACACTGGCATTTACACTCCGTAAGGTCCTACCCTTTGAAAATACTATAGCTACTTTGTGTTTGGCTGCAAGACCAGGAAACCTCTCCATACCTGCCTCTCTTTCTCTTTGAAGGAACAGTTGCAAGGTGTTGATTCTTTTGCATTTCTCTGTTCGTGATCCTCTAAACGTTCCTGAGTGAAAATAGCAGGTGAGCAAGACAGCATTTAGTGTGTCCGTGCCTGTTCCATTCTGGGACACCTCTGAGGTTTCTAGGTGATGTTGGGATCCACCGGAGTTGGTGGGCAGAGAATGGGGGCAGCTGAGGGTCTTCTTCAGCCTCGTCTACCCTATCCGTGTGCTGCACCGCCCTCACCACACTTTACTTCTTCACCTTCGTGTGATGGATGGGTACCAACCCCTCCATCCCATTCTCATGCTACACAGCATCTGCCAATTCTACTCCTCGGTCAAAAACACACAAGCGGCACTGAGGAAACCAGAGTCTTGAGAATACCTGGGCCCAAGAGAAGTTTGGAAAAATGTGATTTAAATAGAATAAATAGATGATGGTAGAAGGACATGTAACAAGTGGTCCTGTGTGCTAAGGGTTCTGTATACATGCTTTCATTGACTCGAACGCTATGAGTTAGGGGCCACTTTTATTCTCATCTTAAAGGTGAGGGATCTGAGCTAACAAAGCAGAGAGAAGTTTAGGGGCTCCAGCCCGGCTGAGACCACCCGGCAAAGCTGTGGCCACGCCCCTTGGCCAGGATTTGATTGGCAGGCCAGCTGAGCGGCTTCCCTGCCAGGAGCAGCCGTGCCTGGGCCTTTCTTTCTCACGCTGCAAGCCCGAGACAGGGCTAAGGAGGGCTTGCGTGCTGCTCAAATGACAACTTCTGTGCAGTTAAAAATTTCCTATTGAAAATTCCAGCCTTAACCCATTCACAAAAGTATCTGGGCCCTTCTTGGCTGTAGGCTCAGCTGTATTCACCAAAGAGAAAAGCGAGCTTCACAAAAGAGCTGTGGGCTCTGGGAGGACCCGGGCTAGTGTGGCGGGGTTTGCTGAGCCGTCAGCAGGCAGGGAGCTCTGAAAGACATGCACGCCTCGCCTCCATCCGTCGGAGCCTTTTCTCTCCCCAAGTCACCGAGCTTGCTGTGGGGCCGGGCACTGCGCGTCACTTAACCGTCCCGCTGCCCCGTGAACTGGAGCCTGTTGTTACCATTTTTGGTTGTTTTTGTTGAGGGATCTGAGAAACAGAGGTCAAGCCACTACTCAGGGTCACTCAGGGGCAGAGGTGGGGCTCAAACCCTATTTGTTTGACTCCAAAGTCCGCCTTCAAACTCTGAGAGACACGGCCGCCTTATCTAGGCATGTGGGAGTGGACTGGGCCATTGTCACTCTGTCACGTGGAGGGAGCCACGGATCTCGGGCATTCCAGAGTCAGGAGGCCGATGACCACAAGGTTCTCTGGGAATGCCCAGTACTGAGGTTTTCCCAGCATTTCATAGCGAATCTCATTCTCACAGCCAAAGATATTAGTATGGAAGTATGACTTTTGATTCTAGAAAGTTCTGCTTGGTGAAAAGATGTTCAAACATTAAAACTACAAACCACATTTTTTGGGGGGGGGCTGGTTCTGAAGCTCAAGGTGAGTAATTTCATTTCCTAGTGCTTCAACCATCCCATCTCCATGAACGGGTGAAATTTCATACAGGAGACTGAAAAAATTAAGGCATCGTGAGAAACCAGTAGGCGTAAAACTTAAAACAGAGAGGAATTCTATTTCTCTTTAACTTCCATTTAAAGCATGAATATATACTCCCCGGAAGGAACTGATGCCAGGATGGATGTATACAAGTTCCTTTTAGAATCCACCAGAACTTTAAAATTTATTTATTTTTTTCCTGATAAACAGAAATTTCTGACAACATTAATAACAAGCCTTAAATGTGAAGCCGAGCCCTGGAAGGAAAACCCCAGGGGCCCTGGTGAGTGAAGGATGAGGGGGACGCCCTGGAAAGGGAGGTGCAGAGAGGAAGGGGCGTGGAAAAGTGAATGCAGGCTGGGAAGGGCAGCCGGGCGGGGTGGGATCCTGTTTCTGCTGCTGAGTAGCCAGGTGACGTGACCCTCTGGAAACCTCAGTTTCCCCATCTCTCGAATGGGCTGACATTCACCAGCATTCCTTGTGGGGTTGATGGGAGAGATGAAGTGCGTGCGGTGTGGAGCAGGTGCCTGCCATTCAGTAAGGGCTCAATAAACAACGCCATCAGCATTGCCACGATTGTGGCTACAGTTCTTACAAACCTTTCCCGAAATCGTGAGTTCCATGAATTTGAAGGTTCCCAGCTCTAGCTCTTCTGGGGACCCCAACACAGGTTCAATTTGGCCATTTCGGATCCTTCTCGGCTGAAGGATGTCTAGTGCCAGACAGGCTGGCACGGCCCTTGCATTGTGCGTGAATGAGGCAGCCCATGAATAATGCATATGAAGCTGATTATGTAAATCCTCAGGTTTTCTTACATCTTTTTAGCCAGCTCATGACAATGGCCTTCTTTTGGGCCCTTTACTGTCCCATTCTGAGGTCTGGTGTCTCTGCTTTGGGGTCTGGCCTGCCAAGCCTGGGAGGGGGGGCGCCTTGGAGAGGGGGGAGCTCTCCGGAGGGCACATCAAAGGAAGAGTCAGAGCTCTGTCGGTGGCCCAGCTCTCCCTGGCACTGCCTCATGTGAAAGGAAACCGTCCTTTGCCCGCAGCAGCCCCATGACACGCAGACTGAGGCCTGTGATGTTTAATTCAGAGCGGGAAAGCTAGAAACGCTGCCACATCCGGGGCTCCCTCAGAGCAGGACGGCCACTTTCATTTAAGGGGCTCCCAGCCAAGGAGCCTCTGTTGGGCAGATTTGCAGGGGGGAGGGCAGGCTTCTGCAAGGAGCTCATTGAGCAGCGCCTCCTGGTTGGGGAGGAGGGCTCCCTTCTATGACCTTCTATGGCTCGGCCTCCTTAGAGCTCATGTAGGCGATGCACACACACACACACGTGCAAATATGACATACACACACAAGCATGCACACACAAATACACAACCCCAAATCAGGAAAACTAACAATTACAAGGAGGAGACTGGGTGCACCCAGCAGAGAGCGCAGGAACTAGGGTCAGAGAGATCTGCGGCCAGGTCTAGGATCTACTTTCCAGCTCCTCTGTGAACGTGGGCAAGTCTCTGAACTCTTGGAGGCTCAGATTCCTCCTCTGTAAAGTGGAGGTTCTAGTACCCCCTAGGCGGGGCTGTCGGAGGCGTTAATAAAACCGATCATGGCTGCCAAGCGAGAGAGGAGCCCAGTGCCTGTTGGTGGTCTTGAGGAGGTGGGGGCAATTTTCCTTGTTTGCCTCATTCTCGCCTTGAGATCTCTCTACCTTAGGCAAGAGTTAGGACAAGGGGGAGTCTGGTTCTATTTGGAAGTCACTGTTCCAGTGCCCAGCAGAGAGCAAGCGAAGGATACTGCACTGTATTCAATGCTCACAACCCTGCAAGGCGGGGTCTGTTAGCTCCCACTTACTGACGAGGAATGCAAGGCTCAGAGAGGGGAAGAGATTTGCACAAGGTCACACCGTTAATAAGTGGGGGGATTTGAACCCAGGACTGACTGACCCCTGAGCCATGTGACAGATGAGACATCAGGGTCGGGGGGGAGGTGGCTTCTTTTGGCTGGGTTACCAGCCTGCGTCTCAGTCTTGGTTTCTCAAGCCAATGCTACTACCAACTTCATGCCAGGAGGCAAATCTTTCATTCGTGCCCTTCCTCTGTGGTTCCCACAGCCCGAGATGCACACCTGTCCATCCCTTTGGTGGACAAACTCCAATTCTCCTTTGCAACTCAGTGCAGGTGTCATGACTTGGAAAGCCTTCCCTGAATGTTCCAGGCAGGGCTGATGCCTCCCCCCCCCCCCCCCCCCC